TGCTTCGATTTGAAAACCACCAGAGAAGATCGCCCTTATCTCGTCGCTCAAAAACGATAAATTCTGGGTTTATCGTTTGCACAAAACCCTTGTACATTTGTGTCTGTTGCGTTAACACATATTATAGTGTCTCTAACAGAGTAATTTTATTAGAATTTCAAAACCGAAATTTCACATAAAAATAAGTTAAATACCCCATAGTATTATAGATTACGTTTTTGCTATTTTTTTCATTTTAGTAATCATACACAATTTTATTATATGCTTCCAAACTTAAAAATGAAAATAAGAGATTTCCTTTTTTAATGTTTTAAATTACAAAATAACTTTGATATGTAATTAAAATAATATTATTCAATTTTCATATATAATTATTAAGGTAGTTATAATACGAGCGATTCATATATTGAGTGACAAGGGATATTTTATTATTAATTTAATTTTTGTTGATTATTTATAGACCATATATTACTTTGTATTGTTTCTTACTCTTATCAAAGTGAGCTTCAAAAAATATACATGTAAATAACAGTATATCACTGATACAATTTCTAATAGTTTTCATATTTTATTTCTATTTTTATGTGTATATATATATACTCTAAATTATAAAATAACATGATACTTAAAGATTTTCCTGCAAAGAGACGCTTTTTGTTACAACCAGAGTTTCCACTTATCTGATTATTTTTTGCCAGACATGTAGAATGAGCCTATGTGACCCTAGAGACTATTAATGACAGATTTATGGACTATACAATTTATTGGAAAGAAAATAGAGAAGGCACATTAAATAAATATCTGCTGTTGCCAATATTTTAGTATAACCGGAAATTAATTGAGAATGGAAAAATATCAGTTACCTTTCTATTACACACACAATTTTTAAGCCTGTAAGATAACAATTTTAAATGAAGTCAGATTTATTAGATATAATGATATTATTTAAATCATCTAATTAAAACATATTTATGAATTTATCTTTGAACACAAAATTATCAATTGAAAAACCATACGAATTCATTTAAATTATTATTTCAATATTTATTAATATTAAATTTTCATAAAAACAAAAAAACTAATGTGACCAAATCTCCCGATTTTTCAATTACTCTACTTAGATACAATGAATAACTTAGTATTTATTACGATTTATCTGCAAGATATAATATAAAATCAAAATAATTTCACCTAAATCATTTCACTATTGTATTAAATTTCCACCATTTAAATATAAATATACGTTTCTATACTATTACATATAAAATATATTATATGATTTTGCGAATTTTCGATCAGTTCAATATTTTCAAATGAGATTATTTATATTACAATTATGAATGGTTTCCCGTAGATTATAGGAATATATCTATTTTAGAAGCTTGATCTAACTTAAATTTAGAAGATAGGAGCATACTTACGTATATGATAATCAGTAGGGTTCAATTATGAAATATAAATGCTTTTATTTAAGTAAATATCTTTGGGTAAAATAACCTTATTAGTTTTGTATAGTTTATCATTGATTATTATGTATAATTTTCGAATCATTAATATTTATTAAAAAATTTTTATAAATAAATAATAATTTTTATAACATTTTTAAAATTATTCATATTATGAATGTATTTTTAACGTTTTAGAATGGCTGCTAATAATTTATAAAAGTAAATAGACACTATATAGACGGTAACAAGAAGCAACTAAAAACAACAGAGTGTGTAAACCACCAATACATGCTAGCCATCAAATAACGGTAGTCAAAATCATAACATGCCTAGTTATTTTTAAAATATCTTGTTAGTGTGGTAAATAGAAGATCTATAAGTATTTACTACGCATTAAATTTAATTATTTTTATTTTTATTGCAATTCCTATTGCATTATTATCAGTTGTTACGTAGAAATATTTTATACCCATATGTCTAAACTATGTAGGTAATTAAATGCTTATTTTTGAAGGTTATAAATCCTAATAATAATAATAGATCTACATAATTGTTTAGTTCTTATTATCTACTAATAAAATATATAAAAAAAACTAATGAAATTTTAAAAAAACTAAAATTAACCGTAAAAAACCTTTACAAAAAAGTATTAGATATCGTAAGGTTCCGGTTTTTAAAATAAATTCTAATAAATGTTCAATTAATCCTAATAAAATTCCGATTTTAATAATAAATTTAAATAAAGGTTTCGGTGAGGTTCCAGTTTCCATATTCAAAGGGTTAAGGTTCTAAAACCGGTTATTTTCGGTACGGTTCCAGTCTCAGCATCCAATTATGATGTTTCTATACATAGATTATATTTTATTTTTTATATAGTAAATCTGATAATTATTTTTTTAATTATGTGAATAAAACTACATTTGATAACATTTTACTAAAGTGGTGTAATTGCAAATTAAAATTATTGTACACAATTTATTGCAGACAAAAACGGCACTCTATATAGGCAATTTAGGTACATTTGTAATTGAATACGTCGCAAATATGCATTATCATATTTATGTAATTATTTCATATTTAATTAACACTACATTACCTAAATGTCTTCTATATTGTCATATTTTATAATAAATAACTATTTTATAAAAATAAAAAATTCATCAAAAATAGATGAAGACAATTTTTCTAGATTTAATATATTTTACTTTGAATTTGACTATAGTACATAAATAAAAACATTTCTTTTCAATTTAAAAATAATAAAATTATTTTAAAAACGTACAAATAGTCTTAAAAAAAGAATAGAATTCTACTCAAGAATAAAAAAATGAAAAAAATAAAAAGTTCATAAAACTCCGTAGTCTTGTGTTTTTCACTATTATCAAAACCAATATCAGAAATTAATACAAATATTTAAGTTTGTTATTTTTTTTTTTTTTAATATCAAAGTTTTACTGACAATGTTATTATCTGAATTTAATAATAATTATAATTTAGTTCGACATATATAATATATGCAGCTGTTTATAAAAAAAATAATAATAGTAATAAACTAATATTAACATAATGTAAATTAACAATTAAGTAAGTATAAAATGCAATAGAAAATCGTAAATTAAAGCTCCAATTATCCTGAGACTTTTCCGTTTGAGTCGGTGGTGTCGAAGAAAATCATATAAATGATAAAATTGTGCTCCTTTTGATTTGGACAATTGTATTTTAAATTTCATTGATAATATTTTTATACAAGGTTTGATTGTGGGCATTTGAAAATCAATGTGAAGTTAGGTTAGACTAAATTGAACCTTATAGAACCCTACAGAACTATAAGGCGTTTTATATAACTCTTAAAATGTTGATTAAAATATTTGTTTTTTGTGAATATAGGTATTTGAACTAGCTCTCTAAGCTGGTGATGCATTAAGTATGAGGGATAGTAGCAGCTATTTGTAAAGTAATAATGAACATTTTCAACTTAACTTGGTATGTCGATTTAAAAGAGGATGTAACATCTTAAGGCTTTGTTAACCTTCTTGTAGTTTGCTTGCTATATGAGAGTTCCAGGTGAGTTTCCGGTCAAGAATAACACCGAGGTATTTGATTTTTGGCAACCAATTAATACATTCTTCACCTAGATAGAAAAGAATAAGATTTAGAGGACGTCGGAGTGTAAACAAAATTGCACAGATTTTTATAGATGAAAAACAATACGCATTTTATTCCCCAGTTATGTATTTTATCAATGCATTCTTGTATATTTGTTTATATATATACAAATATATTAGTTCCATTGAGGTTAAATATAATACTGTAATCAGCGTATTAGTGCGCATTAGCAAGATTATTGTTTTCATTAGATAAGAGATCAGATAGAAATATATTAAACAATAGTGGCGTTAATTTTGATCCCTGTGTAACACCTGTATTAATTGGTTTGAATTCTGGAAATACTTCACTAACACGCACTTTGAAAGTCCTCTCTGTTATAAATGATAGGACTTTCAAAAAATAAATGTTATAAATTAATGTATTATATTAAACAAAGCTAGAGGAATGTTTAGTTTTTTTTTTTTTTTTTATTTGAAGATGTTTGTTATAAAAAATACTACATAGAAATTAAAAGGGATCACCGTTATACACGAATCAAAGGAACTAGACCGAAATATCAAAACTGAAATTTTTTTTAATATTAATATGATTCATAGTCACTGTTAAAATTATTATATTTTAAGGAAATAATATGGATATTTACAATTAACACTGGAATCAACAAAATGACGGTTATAAATTTTTTTTTTATTATTTGTCTATATTAATCTAACATGACATGAAGATAAACTTTTATTTTCACGAGTGAAGCCGGGTAATTCAACTACTTGAAAATAATTTTACCATGCATATTCTTAAATATATTGTTCATTTTTATACAAAATTAAAATCCTATCATTAATAATTTAATATTTTTCACTTATTAAGTTACATTTCTTAATTATTATATTTATAGAAATTAGATTATTGAAAAATAATTGTTCACGTACATTTTTTTTAATATTATTTTCTATATCCTTGTAGTATATAATTTAAATTTATAACTATAGTAAATTTCTTAAATTCTTAATAACCAAAATAAAACAACTTTATCATGTATTAAATGCTTGCCACAAATATTATCGTAAAAGGTTCAAACCATTATCAATAAAGGAGCGTTGAGTTTCTTTAGATGATGCTATGTTTGGACGAATGCGTCCCGCTAATGACGTCCGAGAATTTGTAATATTCCCATTCCTTAAGCTACCCATTGTTTTTGGTTGCCAAAATTCAATTTTATCCTCTAAACATCAAAATTCCGGACCATTTGAAAACAATAAACATACTTGTATAACCCTGTACGAAAAGACCTTGTTTAAGAAAAAAATCTTACATCGTTTTTTTCAACTTAACAAGAAAACAAAGCGGTTGCCTCCATGTTGCCAAGCGACCATATTATGTGAAAGTTAAAAGTTAGATCGATTCATTTATAAGTACACTTATTGACACATAAAGTGTAAAAAAAATAATATTTTAACATAGTATTCAAAATTAGTATGGCGAAAAAAATCGAAAGCAGAAAAAAACAACCTAAAAATAGCACAATTATTAAAGCGGATAAATCAAAACTAGAAGCTCAGGAACGACTATGTGAAATTGACAGGAAACGAGAAAAAGAGGCTTTGCAGGCACAAAAAAATGAAGAGTTGAAGATTCGAGAACACCAGGTAATATTAATACACTAATGCAGCGGTTTCCAACCATATTACACATTATATATATTTATATAAAGCTTTTAATGAATCTCAACAATTTTTTTGTTAAATTGGTTGTCTGCACAACTAAAAAGGTGGGGAACTGCTGCACTAATGTACTAAATACATATTGTTATTCATTTATTTTATATGAATATAAAAATATTACCAATTTAATTTATTAAATATTTTTAAATTATTTTTTATTATATTATAGATGGATCTTATCTTCATATGATATTCAAAATTTTGTGTATCAAATTTAACACCAACAATCGCATTAAGTTAATAAAAATTAAATTTTATTAATATTAAAAAAATAAAAATAAAGATTAAATTAAATTACATCTAAATTTAAATTAACTGAAAAATGAAGTAATAAAAAAGTAAATAATATAATAATAATTATAGTAATTAAAAATAATTATAAATAAGTATGTTTATTTATGTTTACTAATGTAATTTATTATATAAAATAATTATAAAATATTGGTTTTAATAACACGAGATGTTTTGTAAAAAGAAATGTATTATTATTAATAACTATTTATTAATTATACATTATTAATCGGGGTCCACAATTTCTAAAAATCTTTCATCAGAGGTCCATGGTTTACAAAATGTTAAGAACCGCTGAGATAGACAATTCCGTGCGTTCGTTTTAGTTTCTTGGAAATAATGAAATTAATGATGTTATTACGTGGCATATGTTGACCAATAGATTAGGATATAACCATTATTTTTATATATAAGAGATCGTACATCGTATTTTGTTGAATAATATCTGGTTTTACATCAATAATTCTTTACAAATCTCATGCGCTTCTTTTTCTTTGCTTGTCATTTAGGTGTATTTGTTATGAACAGCTTATAATAAGCTAAAAAATAATGGAATTTACACATGTAATAATAATTATTAGATACGTGTGTAATTTCCATTATTTTTATATAAAATCAATATAAAAAGAGTACTAGCGTATCTCTTAATATATATCTTAGTACATCTTATAAATATTTTACAGAATAAATCACAGATTTTTAAAATTTAAAAAAAATCTTGATAATCTATGAATATAAACATTTTTAAATTCAAACTTATTTTTATAATAAGCCGTAACAACATTTTATGTGTTTTAAAAATCAACGTAAAAGCGATTAATATTAATTTCAGCTTCGTGAGAAACGTTTAAAACCCATCTGTGCCATGTTATCGACATTAGCCCAGAAAAAATATGAACACGATCAAATATATCGTGATGAATTGGACTGGAAACATTTAATAGAGTGTAACGGTACTCCTAATCCTAGAAATGTACAAGAACTCAATACATATCTATTTGTCTGGAAAAAAGTAAATCATGCTAATGATAATTGGAACTCTTACGAGGATAAATGTTTAGAAATATTTAATATTATGGATGCAGTAGATGACACCGTGGATTTACCACTGAATTTTAGTAAGATACCTCTTATACTATTAAAAGATAAAAACAAAAATTATTTATCAAATATTTATCTTCTATTATAATGTATTTAATAAATTATTAAAAAAGTATTATTTTTAAATTTTTATATATATTACAATATATAGTAATCTTTATACTTAAGATGTAAAATAAATAGTTATTTTTTAAAAATCTGAAATAGCTTAACTTTTATAGGGTTTTCTATTTTTTTTTTTTTTTTATTGTTGCACTTAATATAACAAATTGTTAACTTTTGTATATTTTTATACTTCCAATTTGTTTAATTCTATTTTATGAAATTTTGGGAGACAAATTCAAAATAGTGGGAATATTGATCTAAAGTAGACTTTATAACAAATATAAATGAGTTACCAAAATCCTTATCGCATCAAAAGGTCGATCTTTGAGTTGAGAATATAAAAGTTAGAATCCCCATGTTATGAGTTTTAAATTATTTTGAGCAATTTTTCAGTACTTAAAACACTGATAACACATTTCTGGATGTAGATCAATTTAAACTTCAGTGTTTTCGAGAAGCTAGAGACAACTTGGGAAGACTGTTGGTAGAAATTGTGTATGGAGCATGTTATCATCTGCTAAGTGATTATGAACGCAGAATGGATCCAATAGATTTAGAAACAGTTGCTTATCAAAATTCTTGTGAAGCATTTGCTGTTGGCTTGCATGCAGTATGCCATAGGCCTAGATTACAGACAGATGACAGACCACCCCCAAAATGTGATTTCCCAGAATGTCTGGTGATGGTGGATGTACCACCACAACTTTCACAACAACATATGGCAATAATGGCTCTTTGGCTACGCTGGGATCCTTTCATAGACAGAATGGCTGAGTTTGATGCATCAAAATCACTAGAGTCAGATATTCGAAGTCTGTGGCAGTACTTGGAAGATATGTGGGAAGAACGCAACCAAATATTACAGAAATTTAACGAAGAAAAGGAACAAGTAAAAAAGGAATTATGGATCATTAAAATGGAAGAAAAACTAAAATTGTTCTCTGCAGTCGATCCAAGCAATTACCCAGACGATTTAAAAGCATACATCGACGAACTAAGAGAAAATGAAACAGAAATTATTAGAGAAAACGGACCAGAATATAAAGCAGTACAAGAAATGGAAGAACGCCAAGATGAGGTCGAGATAAAAGATGAACCACAAATATCAGAAGAAGTAAAAGCAACTAAATCAACAATACACATTGATTTCAAAAAATCTCCCAGTCAAGAAATGGAAAAAAAGCAGCTGGAAGAAATGGAAAAAATTTCTATTTCATTGAAATATCAAGAAAAACCAAATGAACTGAATCCCAGAAGGTACGAATAATATTAATATTTAAAAGGAATCCTTTACTTTCCCTAAATAATACATTTTTATACGTGCATTTACGCTAATAAACTGAAAAATAAATAATTTTTAAGTTATATTTACAGTCATTTTATACTTAGTAAGAAATATCCATACAAAAATTTCCGACCATTTTTATTTCAGTAAAACTCTTATCAATATTTAAACATTTATCCGAGAATAGGTTGAATAAATATTATACATAAATTAATATGTTTTGAACGGACAATTCTTTAACCCAATGCTGAATACACACCATTTGAAAGAACCAATATATATTAGCAATGTAACAAAAGAGAATTTGAGTAATTCATACTATTTAGAAAATATCGAGATACATTAAGGAGCTTAAAGTTTTGATGAATTTAATTGCATATTTATTCTATTTGAGAAATGTTTTTATTCAAAAGTTATTTAGCTTAAGTTTACATATAAAAATGCTTTAAGATACCTAAAGTAAAACATAATAATATAAATTACACTTATTTAACTCAGTATAAATATACCTTAATGGCTTATTATACCTAACTAAGAAACAATTTAAAACTTATAAAGCTATAAGCATAATTTATAACAAGCTGTATAGTTAAAAACAAAAATAGTATATAAGTGTTACATTTTATTGGAGTTGGTTATTTTTATAGTGTTTTGGAGAAAACCTGTATATTTCTTTTTCATTTTTATAAAGTACATACTTTATATGTCAAATAAGTTACTATTTAAATTAAATTTTTTTAGATACTGGATTATTGGTGGAGCATTTAATGTAGAAATGTGGAAACTTCCTATGCAGCCTGTAGAACATAAAGATGGGAGTGTGGTCGTAATGCTCGTAGGCCATTCTGCACTGCAATCAATCGATTATCATGAAAAATACGAGCCGTTACAGTTATCCGTACGTTTTTCGTCTACATCGTCGGAAGACGAAGAAACGGATGTCAAGAAACAAAACCAAGAAGCTCTTAAGAGACTGACAATGGTAAATATAAAGTTACCAGAAAATGTGCTTTGGTTCGAAAACCCTAAGCCAGCCATGTGGAATGAGGAAAAAAAAATTTGGACTACTGATTACATATATGACGTCAGGTAAATTGCAAGTGATAGACTAAATTTTAATTTCTTCGTTCACTTCAAATATTACAAAACATACTAAACTAACAATATACTAACAATGAAAACATTACTGTATAATGTTAAATTGAATATATTCAATATATCTTATTACTAGTAAGTTACTTTATATAATTTTATAATGCTGAAATACATATATAATTTCGAGTATTTAATTATATTCCATAATATATTATATATCCGAGAAATCTATAACCTTTTTTTGTATTATTTTATTGATAAAATAAAACAACTACGTTTTAAATTTTCAGGATAAAATTCCACCAATTCATAGAAAACTGAGTATTATGGTTTTATTATAGCTTTTTTTTTTTATTATAAAGATTAGTGCATACTATTATAGAGTAAGCTTTGTAGGTATTCTTTTTTATTTACATTACATAAAACCACCAATGGTATAAGATATTATATTTAAAATAATCACCATAAATCTATGAGCTTAACAATACACTCACTATAATAAATACATAAATAAATCGTATTGTCAAATTTAATTAACAAAATTAAAATTGCATCTATAGTTTAAAGTAATTTGCACACAACATAATGTTATGGAATGCGAAAAATCTGTATGATTAAAAATAGGAATTAGGTGAGAAGTATTACATGAATAACAATTTCACTAAATATCATTATATGATTTCAAATAATTAAGTACACGTGATTGAAAGAAATTTAACAATCGCAGATACTAAAACAACACTGCATAATTAATGACAATAATTTTCAAACTATTAGATCTTCTCGGGATAAACGTATTTCATTTTTTTATATTTGTATTTTTTCGTGTATCAATGTTTATCACATTTCATTTTCACACATTTGCCATTCCTTTTACATATAACCTTAAACAATAATTATTGATTCATTTAAATTAAAGAAATCAAAAACCAAAAAAACCAAAGAACACAGGACATGCCCTACTTTTCTATGAGGCGTACAAGTCCTCGCGTTGCCACATAAACAACACACCATTATTATTTTCAGTTAATAACAGTCATGCGCTCCAACCCACGGATACACAATTACTTGCCAAATAAATCTTTTTGAACCGTGCGTATTTATATAAAAAATGTATAAACATAAAATGTATATAATATTCTATAAGTGTTTTTAAATTATATTATTACCAGTCTTGTAAAGTATTCGAGTAAAAGTATTCAAATACATTTTAAGTACTCAAATATGTATTCTAAATATATTTGAAAAAAGTACTTGGGCACAGTATTTGAATACCTACTTTTTTTAATGTATCTATATTTAAAATCAAATATTATTTTTAAATACTTTTTTCCTCTTACTTTATGTACAGGGACACCGAATTTTAATAAAATAATACTAATTGTAAAAAAATTGTATTTATAGATTATTATTAGTTTCATCGCCGTTATTATTATCGTTTATATTATCGTTTTATATTATCTTGATAGTAAATAATAATAGTTACTATGCCACATGTATTAAATAACTAATGACTGTATAATGTATACATTAGAAATGTTGTTGTACAAGTTATAGTATTTGATGGTATACCAGACCAAAAAATGCTCAATTCTTATTATAATTAATTTAAGTAAAGATAGTGCTTAAAAAAAAAAAAAAATAATTTGATTTACTAATAATTTAATTTACCCATCATTAAGGAAAAAATGTAAAACACTTTTAAAAAAAAAATATTTGAAAGTATCTACAAATACTTTTTAAAAATATTTGTATTTATACTTGAATACATTTTTTCCAAGTATTCGAATTCGTAGTTTAAATACTTTTGAAAAAAATAACTGTATCTGAACTTGAATACTTTTTAAAAGTATATTTCACAATGACTGACTATTACCATCACTAGTCTTAGAAAAAAATACTTTTATTGCGGTCGATGGTCAGGCATATAAAATTAAGTTAAGGGAAACCGATACGATTTTGCTCCAGACGGTTTGTAAAACAAAAGTAATTTTGAGGGCAATCGGTACATGCCCCGCCCCCGGAACGTCCACCAAGGTCGGCGACTAGTATATGCGTAACTGATTCGTGCTGGGTACACTTGCAGGTTCAACGAGGAGAAGCAGATGGTATCCTTCCGCGCGGGTCGGATGGGCTCGTTCGGGCTGGCCGTCAACCGGTACTCGAACTTCCCGTTCCAGTCGTGGGAGATACGGCCCGAGGGCAACAGCCCGGACAGCGGCGTCGTGCTGTCCGTGACCGCGGCCACAGTGCTGATCGAGTTCGTGGTGCGCGGCGACCACGCGGCCATGGTGCAGCTTCAGAACGCGACCACGGTGGCGCTACAGGAGATGATCGGCGTGTACCACCGGCCGGACAAGCTGGTGCGATTGCTGCGCCGCGGCGGCGTCAACCTGTTTCCCGCGCCGGACGCGCTGCACTACGTGGACGGGCGCCGGCCGCCCAAGCACACGGTCGCCGAGCGACACACGTACCGGTGCATGGCCGCCCTGAGCGGCACCCACCAGTTCACCGCGTCCCGGTGGAACGTCCACGTGGCCACCAACCGGATTGTGATGCAGATGAAAGAGATACCGGTCGACGAAGCGGCCGTCGACGAGTCCCTTGCCGCTGCTGTTGCCGCCGCTTCAGCGGGCGGTGGTGGCGTGAGCGTCCCGTTCAAGATGGTCATGGTGACGCCGGAACGGGCCTTGCTGCTCAAGTGCAACGAGGTCAGCCAAGCGTTCTCGGAGGAACCGCTGAACCCGGATGACGACGCGCCGTTCGCGCCCGACCTGTTCGCACTAGCCGTGGACACCGCGAGCACGGATCGCGTGCGCGCCGCCTTGGCAGACGTCCGCGACTTTGAGACCGTACAGACGTTGTACTACCTGTTGGACAAGATTAAATTCTTGAGCTATTCTTGATCCGCTCCCCCGTCCGTCATCTGAAACCACCCCCTCGTGCTGCAGCAATTGGTCGATCGAAATAATACATTCTATTCGGTATCGAAAAAAAAAAAAAAAAGAAAAAGATCATGTGGAAAATAAATAATTTTAAATTCGATGGCCGATTAATTTATAGATCGTGAAACAGAAGATAGTCCATCCACGTATTTTGTTTAAGGTTAGTACATAGCAGTTTAAGATCTAAATTAGTCCAAGTTCAAGGTTAACATTTAAGGAAGGTATATGGAAGGTTAGTATATATAACGAACGTGTTGCCAGTCCCCCTTGAAAAATCTAAAAAAAATTATGTAAATAATTAGCTTGCAATTCACAATAATTCGCAAGACCTATATCAAAAAATTCGCACGATACTCCTTCCCTTCCAAAATCCAAAATCCAAAATCCATAGGGGGCTGGAAACACGTTCGTGTCAGATTAGCACAGGGATGACAAACCTTTTGAACAAACACTGCGTGCCCAAAATTACCTTTTTTTTTTTTTATGAGCGTATCATGAAAAAAATATTAAAAATATTATATTTTGTTATATTATAATTTGATTGTATAATTAATGTATTAGTATAAAAAGGTTAGTTTAGGTACATAATAATAATAATAATAATATATAATAAATAATAATATTGCTTTGTTAATTGTTTATATTATATTATATTATAGGTCCTATAATATTATATACTATATAATATATAATAGTAAAAATTTTCGCGTGCCATGGATTTGCCATTTCTGGATTATCGTCTTAATATCGACGCACGTGAATATCACGTTGGATATCCGGGATGGGTATTTATACAAATAGCTTTAAGCACACGTATTCGGGCCACATTTTATTTAATTTTCAATAAAATTTGCGAAATATTTTAAAATTTTTAAATAATTTGATACGTTTATCTGGATAAAACCATAAACAAGTGTGAAGTCGTTTAATGAAATACAAAAACATCTAAACGCCACCGTAATGCAAACAGAACATATAACAAAATAAATGGTACCATATTTAAAATCTTCATTATGTTATTCAGTAAAAAAATTTTAAGTAAATGTTTATTGAAAATAATAATAATTAGTATAATATGTGTTAGTCACAATATAGTTTACAATCTTTGTTTGATCACATTTTATGTCACACAATATTCTAAACGACTCAGCAGCTAAAGTATGCTAAGGATCATTGGCACATTATTGTACATATAATATAATAAATATAATGTTTGTAAGATAAAAAAATATGCATTAATATATTTTTGTTAAGTTATAATTTTTTAAAAGAATAAAAATATTTTAACTATTTTTAATATATTTTTGGTTGTTATTGAAGTTAATTTCTATATAATTTCAATAAAAATGTTACTACGTATTTATGAATAAGTTGAATACTTATATAATATAAAAAATATATTTTTTTATTACATTTTTTATAAAATTGTGGAAGATATTAAAACTACTTATTATACTATAATGGAATTGAGAAATATTAAAAAAAAAATCAAACAGAAACTCCGAAAGTATATGATTATCCAATGAGAAGAAAAGTTATTTCAGAGAGAGACTTCCTGCGAACGGTTATCCAATAAGAAAAAAGTTATTTCCAAACAAAAGACTTAATAGGATCGAGTTAATTTTCCGTCCTAAAAGATTTCAAATATACCGAGTTCAAAACCACTTGTCTCACCCTAATATCTCTGGGTCCGAGCACATAAAAACACTAGCTTCCAGAACAAATAATTACAAGGGAGAAGAATAGTTTTCTTCCAGTCCCTGAAAACTTTTCACTTATCGCTAAAACTTTTTTTTTTTTAAAGAACCTACCACTTAATAAGTTTCCGACCAAATAGTTATAATACTTGCAATCGGTTTTTAGGTTGTTACAATTTCCGTTTATTATTACCGCATCAAATGACAAACAACTGTGTATAGTATGGAAATTTATTTTTTCCTTGCTATCATTTTTTACAATTGTTAATATTCATTATTATTAATGTTTTAAGTATATGTTGTGTATTTACGAGTATATTATTATTATTTTGAATACAATTTCCATTTAAATCTTTTAATAAAACTTTACTTGAAATATTATAAAACGTTATTATGTTACGTATAATGGATATACGTAATGTAGTGTTTATTACATCATTATTTGTCTACACACATAATATGTATGTTTGCCGAGTAAACACTACGTTGCTAAACGCTCTTAAACTACGGTTAAATGTATTCAAAAGGACCAGAAAACCTTCCCTGAATATCACATATCTAACTGGTCACCCCCGACCACATTACATATTGATGGAAGCACCGTAACTAATTGAAATTACAAATATTTGGAAATGATTTAGTTTGGATACTTATTGTGTATGTACAGTGTACACAGAGTGGCGGATTTAGCGTTTTGGCACCCCTAGGCTTAATCACTCTGCCCCTCCCCCATCACTCTAATAAGGAACCAACAATATTTGGTCTAAAGCTTTCTTTTCAAATTGTACTCAGTTTTTTTATCATAAAAAAAAAATATATATATATAAAATATAAAATCTTTAAAATAGAAAACTTCTAAAAATAAAATATTTCATGTCTATTATTTTACTTCAGATACCATTATTACCAATACAAATAATACCTATACTCGGATAGACGGATGTTCCCAATAAGTACATAGGTACTAATAAGTAATTAATAATAACTAGTAACTAACTGTAATTATTTTATTACAAATGAAATATTTTCAAAGTGTAATAATAATTGTAATATTCTTACTATAGCCTAAAGGTAGGCATCATAAAATGTACATATTAATATATTATTATAACTTTTTAAAATTATTTTTATTTGTGTTTATATGACAAATATAAAAAAAAATATATTAAAATAAATATACCTAATAAGTCAATAATAACACTTAATTCTATAAAAAAAAAAAAGCCGCCCTAGGCTATAAGACTTTTAGCCTGCACCCTAATCCGCCACTGTGTACACATACTACATACGGATATTGGATATGAAGTTTGATTAAACCATGATAAGATGAAGTTCAAGTACCTTACCAGTACTCATGAAGAGTTGTCGTTTCTTACATATTCATCATTGACCGTCGGCCTTACAATAGTCATATATGCCCAAATGGGATCGTAGTGTCTTCTCAGGAAATATACATATTATGTATGTAGACTAATAATGATGTTATAACCAATACAGTGTATAAATAACAACGTAAATAATAAAAATCCGCTATTATAACAGGATTTATGATAGATATCTGCAGAATTCAGAGTAAATATTTGATTTTAAAATATTATATTCAATAATTGTAAGTGGTAAAAATTATTTTAATTTAAGCATTTATATAACCATACATAGATATAATCATTTAAAATCTTAACAAAATGTATATCTATGATTATCCCATACCTATATAATAAAATAATAGACTGACAATCACCGATAATTATAAGTTTCCGCGTATTATAGGAAAATTGTTGTAATATTATCAATCAATCTACGTAAAATATTAGTCCTATTACTACCTACCATGAACATTTTTACATATTATTCGTCACAAAAAGAAAAGTATGAAAATTAAAATAAATGTTTTTTATCGGTGTGTAATCATAACAATATAATCAATATTTTATAGACAATAAATATACTTCATTCCGTTAGTCATGGTCATCCGATTTTTCATTTACAACATAGGCTAGCTGTATAAAATTCGATCACACCGATCTAGTCGCATAAGTGTATAGGGTATACGAGACTTGAAGAGAAGATCGAAATTATTATTTCTCAACTCGGACCACATTTGGGTATGAACAAGTATTTCAGTGTGGTACGCGTGCATGTAGGCAAGTGTGTACACGTCATTTATACTGCAGATGTATATACGTAACATTTTCGAACTACAACCTAAAAAAATGTCAAAACGTCACAGAGCTAATAAAAAAAAAACCGATGTACTCTTCAAATCGAAATAATATACACTTTTACAACGTACTTCAATTTTTATCGGTATTATTGCATAATTAAATTATATATAATATATAAATATATATATAATTACATAATCAGTGTTTGATAGAGCATATATGGTGTACACAGAAACAACGTACAACTTCTCGACTTTTGCTTACAAATTATTGTATGATACGCAGGTGTCTACGTATTCCCTGCAAAAAATCAAAAGAAAAATATTTTTAGTTTTCCTCCAATTTAAATAAGTTGTGTTCATATATTTAATGATTCACAATAATTTGTATGATGCCAACTTGGTTACTTATTGTATAATTAGATGAATAATAATGAAATTGGGTTGAAATTTTGAAAATTTGTCTCTCTTTGTTATTACTAGACTTGCTACACCAACTTGCAACGTTAGGTCAAAATCCATACTCGTATCAGATATCTGGTTAAATGTTTCATTGTCCTTCTCAAACTTTTTTTATCCATGGGCCCTCTAAATTTAATGTAAAACTGTCAAGACCTCTTTAATCAATATCATTAATTAAATATTAAAATTACATGTACTATTTCACACAGATAAATTATTAAAATGTATATTAAAATAATATTTATTAATATAACGTTGAAAGAACTTCATAACAATGTGAAACTTAAAACATTTATAAATACAAATAAATTAGACTAAATAAATACATAGTTGAAATAAAATAAATATTGCACGGCCTTCCAGTAATATAGCCATGACTTTCAGATTGAGAAACACTGATTTAGAACGTAAGTCAGTTTGAGTATAACTTATCACTACCGCAGAAATGAAAGAGAGACCTCTTCGTTCCTGTGTACGACGAGCGCCTCGTCCTTTGAGAATTAACGAAAGCACATTTTTACGGAGGCGAATTCTGTCAAAGACCGCGCATACAAAAGACGGTGTCTTGTTTTGTTCTAAACCTTGAAGCCGCAAAAGTACTTTCACCGATAAGACGACAATTACTAAGAAAAATAAATAATTAAATAGGCTAGAGGAATAATATTAAAGTCAATTGAACGTGAACTGAAGATGAACTGAACGAAGAACTAATAAAACATATGATTCCATTTTGACATTTATTTTAAACTTATATAAAAATAATACTGTTCAATTAAAACACGAATTTAGGATTGTAATAAAACTAATAAATAATAACAAATTATTTTATGATTCGTGCAAATGTGGTAAGAGAAAGCAATAGTTTCTCCTATTAATAATTTCTATATATCTACCATTGTTCTTAAAATAAAATTTGATCTTCCTGATAATTAAACATTTAAACTAGGTAATTTAATTAAAATTTCTGCTCAGTCTAAACTATCTAATGTTTAATACTATTGTAATCATTACGATTATTAATTAAAATATATATTTTAACTAACGATATTCATTATTGTACAATTATATTCACATTATTATTCGTTTTTTGCTTAGATCATATAGTAATAACACCGTATAGTATATGATATAA